GCAGGCATGGGCTACCATACCCGGCTAACTTTTGTATTTTTTTTTTTGTAAAGATGCGGTTTCACCAAGTTACCCAGGCTGGCATCAAACTACTGGGTTCAAGAATTCTGCCTACCTCAGCCTCCCAAAGTGCTGGGATTACAGGTGTGAGCCACTGGAGGGGACCCACCCCATCTTTTTTTTTAAAAATAACATAACCATTTTTGTTTGTTTGTTTTTTGAGATGGAGTCTTGCTCTGTCACCCAGGCTGGAGTGCAGTGGCAAGATCTCGGCTCATTGCAGCCTCCACCTCCCGGGTTCAAGTGATTCTCCTGCCTCAGCCTCCCCAGTAGCTGGGATTACAGGCAGGCACCACCACGCCCGGCTAATTTTTGTATTTTTAGTAGAGACGGGGTTTCACCATGCTGGCCAGGCTGGTCTCGAACTCCTGACCTCATGATCCGCCCATCTCAGCCTTCCAAAGTGCTGGGATTCCAGGTGTGAGCCAGGGTGCCTGACCACCCCATTGTCTATTCATAAAGGTAACTGGGAGAATAGAGGTTCACAGAGGCTCTCAAAGAAGACGTCTAGTAAGCCCGTCAGGGAGCGTGGGGAGGGAACCCCTGGGACCTGATCAAGGCTGTGCAAGCCCGACCTGCCCCATGACCTGAGGCTGACCCGCAACTGAGGACAAGGTAAGAGAAGATGGTAGGGCCTGGCCAAAGTCTCTGGGAAAATAAATAGGCTTATCTGTTGTCCTGTGACCTGCACTGTTCTTTTGCTGGGAAAACAGACCCTCCATTTTTGAGATTCCTGAAAGGTGACCAGGTGAAAGCAGAGCCTAACTTCCTGGGGAAATGGTCTCAGCGCAGTGAATGCTATATTCAGAGGTAGGAAGACTCTGGATGTGAACTACTTCGTGTTTCTTTTGTAAAATTACCAAAAAAATGAGGACTATCCACAGAAGCGGAAGTAGGAATGCGGAAGGAGAGGATGAGTTTAGACTAAGCTCTTTTGTCACCTCACTTCTGCTTTTGAAGTCCCACAGCTCCGTAAGGTAAAGTTACTTGAATTGGTGCTTAAGTCAATATTTGAGGTGAAAAGTTCATGTTTTCTCTGCTAATATGCCTAATTTCTTCTGAAATTCCTGTAAAGTGTACTGGATTGTGAAATTAGTATCTTCATAGAAACAACTGAATCATGTTTCAAAGAAGGATCATTATCTTAGGGTACGCTATCATGATTTTATAATAACATAAAGCTAAGTCATGCATTCTGTCTTTAAAAAAACCTTTCACAGTTTTAATAACATTTAGGATTATCATTGTTTATGTTTCCAAGCAGAAACAAGTTTCTCATTTTATGTAGTAATGTGTGCTCCAAAGAGTTGTGGCCTGAATACCTGAATTTTGCCCCAGTTCTGCTGTAACCATCTATTTGATAGTGGGTCTCAATTCCTTCAACTGTGAATGAGAAGTGACACTCCTTTATATGATTGCTAAGAGGCTGCAATCATTGATATTCGTTAAGCTGGAGAGGAAAGGGGGCATATGCAAATATGAAACCCATACGATTTGTAAACATCTACTACACAGGCAATGTGATCATGAAGGCATTACGATTAATAGTATTAAATGAGAAATGTGGATATAGTATTAGCAGGAGAAATTCTCTCTGGAGATAATTAATATTGAAACTGGATGAATATTTATGGGACATCTGCCTTGCCAATTTTTCGCAATGATTTTCAGGAAAGAAGTTTAGATAACCTTCCCTGGTAACTTGTCTCCATGTCTGAAGAGCCTAATGGTGAGCAAAACATTCCTTTCATTTAAGCCACGGCTACCTTTGCTCTGAATCTAATGGGGTGGGGCAGAAAGGGCATGGATTTAGGTAAGAACCAGTCCTGGCTTGGCCACCTACTAGCTTTGTGCAAGGCAAATTACCCTTTCAATCCCAGGCCCTTTTCTATTAAATGAGGATAGTAATAATGCTTAGAGCTAGTCTACATGAAAAGTGCTTCATAAGGTGACAAAATGCTTATGATTATCACGGATTCTGCAGTGTCATATTTATAAAAAACAAGGTGTGACCATTCTAAGATTTTAATCAATTGATTAGCTTACTACAATTAAATGCAGCTACCTGGAAGTATCAATCACATAAACATAATCTCTTTGTTTGTTTGTTTGTTTTGAGACGGAGTTTTGCTCTTATTGCTCAGGCTGGAGTGAAATGGCGCGATCTTGGCTCACTGCAACCTCTGCTTCCTGGGTTCAAGAGATGCTCCTGCCTCAGCCGCCTAAGTAGCTGGGATTACAGGCATGTGCCTCCATGCCCGGCTAATTTTGTATTTTTAGTGGAGACAGGATTTCTCCATGTTGGTCAGGCTGGTCTGAACTCCTGACCTCAGGTGATCCGCCTGCCCTGGCCTCCCAAAGTGCTGAGATTACAGGTGTGAGCCACATTGCCTGGCCTGTATTTTAACTTTAGGTTCAGGGGTGCATGTGCCGATTTGCTGTACACGTAAATTGCGAGTCGGGGAGGTTTGGTGTACAGATTATTTCAACACTCAGGTAATAAACATCATACTGGATAGGTAGTTTTTTGATTCTCATACTGCTCACATCTTCCACCCTCAAGTAGGCCCGTGTTTGTTGCTCCCTTCTTTGTGTCCATGTGCACTCAATGTACATAAACATAATCTGGAGTGAAAGAAGTAAGACACAGCAAAGTAGTTTCTATCTGATTTTACAAAGAGTGCTTCTAGGAGTCTGGTAATGTTCTATTTCTTGATCAATGTGTCAGTCATGAGTGTGTTCAGTTGGTGATCATTCATCAGATTGTGAACATAAGATGTGTGCTGTTTTGTAAGTATGTATGTCATACTTCAATAAAAAGTTAACATTGTTGTGTTTGAGATGATGGCTATGTTGCTACTGTGATCTGATCATTATATATTATACATAGAAACATCCCTGTAGGCCGGGTGCAGTGGCTCATGCCTGTAATCCCAGCACTTTGGGAGGCTGAGGCAGGGGGATCACAAGGTCAGGAGTTCAAGACCAATTTGACCAATATGGTGAAACCCCATGTCTACTACAAATATGAAAATTAGCTGGGTGTGGTGGTATGCACCTGTAGTCCCAGCTACGTGGGAGACTGAGGCAGGAGAACTGCTTGAACCCGGGAGGCAGAGGTTGCAGTGAGCCAAGATTGCGCCACTGCACTCCAGCCTGGGTGACAGAGGGAGACTCCATATCAAAAAAAACAAAACAAAACAAAATCACTATATACCTCATGAATACGTACAATTATTATTTATCAATTTTAAAAATGCTAATTTTTTAAATTTAAAAACATTAGACCCACAGATTTAAAAAAATAGCAACAACAAAATCTCCAGATATGCCCATATCTGGAAAGAACCACTCTTAATATTTGGCATAGATTCTTCCAGAATTTTTTCTATATGTAGAACATTTTTCTATATGTACATTTTACAAAATGGGATCATACTGTACATCTTTGGGTAACCCTATCTTCTCACTGGATCCTATTTCACTCTTGCAAATACTGACAAACAAGACTTTTTCAAACATCTCTGCTCAGTAGACAATTTATTTATTTATTTATTTATTTTTAGGATCCTAAAACTGGGAGCGGTGCCTCCAGGAGGATGTGCATCTTTCCTTGGGTTTCCCCTGGAAAGACAGAATGAATTCACATTCCCACCTGCAGTGGCTGAGAAGTCCCCTTTCCCCCACTTCCTTGCCAAAAATGGATATTATCATTCCTTTTTATCTTTGCCACTATGGAAGTTTTGTGTAACTGAACACAAGAATTACAGAAGAGGCCAAGTTTGGTGGCTCACGCCTGTAATCCCAGCACTTCGGGAGGCTGAGGTGGGTGGATCACTTGAAGCCAGGAGTTTGAAACCACCCTGGACAACATGATGAAACCCTGTTTCTACCAAAAAAAAAAATCCCCCCAACACACACAAAATTAGCGACATGTTGATGCATACCTGCGGGCCCAGCTAACTTGGGAGGCTTAGTGGGAGGATCACTTGAGCCCAGGAGGTTGAGGCTGCATTAACATGATTGCACCTCTGCTCTCCAGCCTGAGCAACAGAGTGAGATCCTGTCTCAAAAAAAAAAAAAAGGAATAAAAGAAAAGAGGAATTCAGGGACAGACTGGCATTGTGGCTCCAACCCAACTCAGAAGCTCAGTTTCTTCAGCTATAAAATGGGGTAAAGAATAATCTTTCCCAAAGAGAAACGTTAAATACCTTGGTCCTAGTCCTAGCCACCCCAGCGGCTCTCTTTTCTTCCCAAACTCCTTTTCGATCTTGTCTCCTCCAGCAGCCTGGGTATTCCCGCGTGAATGTAAATCACATGACATGGTTTGTATCTGTGTCTCCATCCAAATCTCATGTCAAATTGTAACCTCAGTGGTGGAGGCAGGGCCTGATGGGAGGTGACCGGATCGTGGAGGCAGAGTTCTTATGAATGGTTTAGCACAGTCTCCCCTTGGTACCGTGTAGGGAGTAAGTTCTCATGAGATCTGGTTGTTTAACAGTATGGCACCTCCCCTCTCTCTTCTCCTTCTGCTCCAGCCATGTGAGATTCACTGCTCCTCTCTGCCTTCTGCCATAATTGTTAAGTTCCCTGAGGCCTCCCCAGAAGCTGATGCCGCCATGCTTCCTATACAACCTATAGAACTGTGAGCCAATTAAACCTTTTTTCTTCGTAAATTACCCAGTCTCAGATATTTCCTTATAGCAGTGCAAAAACTGCCCTGATTAACAAATACATCACACCACATCATCTCTGTCTTAAAACTCTTTCTCTAAGCTATAGTACTTAGAACAAAATCTAAACTAATCCTGGCTGACTTGGGTCTACCTGCTCTGCCTTTGCCTGCCCCGCTGCAGACACTGTCAGGTCTTGCTGTCCTTTCCCCACCTTTTGAAAAATTATTATTGTTATTTACTTTTTAAATTTTTTATTTTTATTTTTAATTTAAATTTTTTTATCTTTTTAGGGACAGGATCTTGCTCTGTCACCCAGGCTGGAGTGCAGTAGTGCAATTAGAGCTCACTATAGCCTCAAACTCCAGGGTCAAGCAATCCTCCTGCCTCAGCCTCTCAAGTAAACCAGCTAATTTTTTTTTTTTTTTTTTTTTTTTGAGACAGAGTTTCATCCTTGTTGCCCAGCCTGGAGTGCAGTGGCGCAATCTCGGCTCATTGTAACCTCCGCCTCTCAGGTTCAAGCGATTCTCCTGCCTCAGCCTCCTAAGTAGCTGAGATTACAGGCATGCACCACCACACCCAGCTAATTGGTATTTTTAGTAGAGGTGGGGTTTCTCCATGTTGGTCAGGCTGGTCTTGAACTCCAGACCTCAGGTGATCTGCCTGTCTCGGCCTCCCAAAGTGCTAGGATTACAGGCGTGAGCCACTGCGCCCAGTTGCTAATTTTTATTTTTTACTTTTTGTAGAGATAGGGTGTCATTATGTTGGCCAACCTGGTCTCAAACTCCTGACCTCAAGCAATCCTCCTGCCTCAGCTTCAGAGTGCTGGGATTACAGTTGTGAACCGCTGTGCCTGGCAGCCCACATCTGAGGCTGCACTGGCCTCTGGGTTTCTTGAATGGCAGTCCCTCAGGCTGCTCCGCCTCCCTGTCCTTCCCGTCCTTGCCAACTTCAGCTTAAAACCACATCCTTAGGGAGACATTCCCTGTCCTCCTGCTGTGTTCCCTCCCACCATCTGTTTCGTCCCTTCACAGCTCTTATTACCATGTGTAATGATATATTTCTTTGCTTACTTTCGTGTGTTTTCTCCCCGCCACCTGTAAGCTCAATGAGAGCAGAGATGTGGCCTTCCGAGTTTGCCGCTGTATCCCCCAGCACCTAGGCCTATGCCTTGTTGTACATGTTCAACAAGTATTTGGTGAATGTGTGAAAATAAATATTTCAAAATCAAAGCTGTTGGAACTTTAAAACATATGAGCCTTGAAGGAGTGTGATTATGGGACTCAAGTTACAAAAACAGACGGCTGTAGCCTTTGTCTCTCTGATTATAGATTAGCCTTCTTCCTCACCCACATTGTTTTGTAAAATGTTGTCAATGACTGAGGGGTGCCAGGGAAGACCCCTTCCCCCTTCACTACTGATCATCATTATAGATTCACTTCCTTCTTTCATTTCTGATACAAAGACTTCACAACTATCTCTTTGTCTAAGATGAAATGTTCTAATCCTACTAAATTTCTTTGTTTTCTGCCTATATAAGCAAGACGTTTTTATTTTAGACCACTGGCCTCATCTCTCTGGAGTCCATGTTTCCTGAATGGCTATTCCTGGGTTTGAGCTCCAATAAACTCTATACCTAATCATATGTTCTAAATCATATTATTTAAGGTTGATGCATAAGTGACTATTTCACTTTTCCTCCGGTCTGGTGGAAGGGTGAAGTAGCTGCCAGTTCTCTGCAACACATAATTCTGGGATGTCTATTCTCGATCTGAAATATCCTCGGCCATTTCCGATCTCTCTCATCCCCATCCCCAAGTTGTGGACTGTGTCACCTTCTGCAACTCTGAAATGAAATATATGCTTTCTTGTACTATTCTTTTAGTGTTGGAAGTGCCTCCTACCACCTTAGGGAACCATATATTAGTTTACAGTAACCCAGTTTCTTCAAATGGCATACCGTCTCAAGGGAGTGGGAGGGCTTAATCAATATTCATTCATTCAGCATTCATTTATTAAGCACCTAGGAAATACCAGTCATTATACTAAACACTCAGGATACAAAAACGAATAAGGCATAGCATTTCCTAACTTCAGGGAGCTCACAGTCTGGGGGTGGGGGGGCACATAATTGTAATTGCAACAATTGCAGTAGCTTGCTATGTAAAAGACGAAGGGGGCCAGGCACGGTAGTTCATGCCTGTAATCCCAACATTTTGGAAGGCCAAGGTGAGCAGATCACTTGAGTCCAGGAGTTTGAAACCAGCCTGGCCAATGTGGTGAAACCCTGTCTCTATCAAAAATACAAAAATTAGCCAGGTGCGGTGGTGCATGCCTGTAGTCCCAGCTACTCAGGAGGCTCAGGTGGGAGAATTGCTTGTACCTGGGAGGTGGAGGTTGCCGTGAGCCAAGATTGCACCACTGCACTCCAGCCTAGGTGATGGAGTGACTCTGTCTCAAAAAAAAAAAAAAAAAAAGACAAAGGGCCACACAGGGGAAGGTAGGTGCTAGGGGTGCCCCATCCAGCTTCTTTTTACTCCCAGCTGCTGTGAGGACTGGCTGACAACAGCTCACAGCCCCTCCTTCTCCTGGGAGTCATGGTTCCCAAAGGGCAGTCTGGCCCAGACATGCAAAAGCTCAGCCCCCTGGCACCAAGGGGGCACTGCCTATGTGGTGCACTTTGGGGATCCCAAACTTCCCAGAGGGCTCAGCCTGAAGCTGGTGTCTGGCTGAGACCGCATCCTCGCTTGCCCTTCCCCACCCTCTGCTCTCTTGCCCCCTCACTCCCCTCCTCCTGAGAACACTCCCCCGGTGAATCACTTGCTCAAGAATTCTCCTGCTTCTTGAGAACCCCACCTGAGACACAAGAGAAACTGGGCCCTTGGGAGCTGGTTGGCCACAGGCAGTTTCAGGAATCCACAGATGTAAAGAGGTAGCTGAAGATAAATTTCATTCCTCTGGACAGAGCTGGTGGTGAAATGGATGACAGTAGGATTGCCTTTATCCACAGTAGAAGGTCATTTGTGCTATTTTTATTATTTTTTTAAAATCACAATTCTAAATCTCTGGATCGAAAGCATTCGTCGAACTTCCTGCTTATGGACTGTTAAGGTTCCTGAGTTTGGGAGGAGTTCTTTTTTCCTAAATTCCATGTTGCCCTTCCTTCTTTACTCTTCATATTTGAAATGATGTCACTGAAAGCAGGTGCCCTTTGGTGGTTGAGATGGACTCACCATCACCCCTAGACTGGATCCACATTCTCCCTTGAACTCTTGTAGCATCTTTTTGCTTCTCTGAAGTAGCAATTATGGGCACTGTCCATGGAATTCCCCATTTATTGCCTATTTAGTCAAAGAACACTCAAGAACTGAGCATAATTCAGAGCTAACATGGTCTTCTTCTTTGTTATCTCATAGAATGTGGTTACAAAATATTTATTGAATGATAAAAATGAAAGACTAAATGAATGAATGATCAATATTGCCAAACCAGGCAAGTTCCATATACATGCAAATTGGTTCTCACTTGTGCAATGTCCTTTTGCCGTATGTCTTTTTAATCTGTTTGCCTTATTGTCTCCAACTGGTGACAAAGACTACATCTTCTATTTCCCTTTTATCCCTGCAATAGACTACAGAACTCATGTTTGATGGAATAACTAATTAGTCAGTCAGCATTTATTGAGCACAGACTATTTTAAGGGTATTTTAAAGATGGGAATTTAAAAACAAATAAAACACAGTGGTCTTTAAAGAGCTCATGATATCCTGAATATACAATTTGTTCTTAGAGTGTCTTGTTAAATGCGTGACTACATTTGGTTTAATATTTGTTCCTTTGTAAACCTTTCATAGAAATAAATTCACAAATAATTAAAACATTCTTTTGCAGACCATGTGACTTAATTTTGTCGCAAATATGGCTGGTGTGCCAATCAGGCTCTGGCTGTAGGTGTCATTGATATGTTACTGTTTAGCTAAAAAGGTGAAGTTGCTGCTTCAAATCCTACTGTGTGTGCCTG